ATGAACAAGATACACTTCCTATAGCATATTACAGGAACCATTATTAGATTTCATAATTCCCAGCTGTGTATGCCCCCCTGCATCCCTGTGGCTTCCATCCCTGCTCTAGGAGGCCAGAGTGGATGAACAACAGCCATCAGTGCCTTGGCCCTTGCTATGGGAGGCACACACAATTTGCTCTGACCACCGATTGCAGCCCCATGGCAAGAAGCATCCATTTTCCTTAGGTGAAGTATCGGACTCCCAAAGGGTTTCCCTTCCCTTTCCTGTTGTATTTATTCAGCAGAGGCAGAGAGTACTTGTGCTGGTGAGAGCAGGGGGAAGCAGATTAGGGTGGAGGGTAAGACAGCAGGAGACTAAATTTTCTAAGCTTCAGCAGAAGCATCACTAAGGTGATTACAATGATGCTTCCCATCGCTAAAGTGCAACAGCACATCTACGAAGTGGGAAGAGTCTTTTGACTACCTACCTTTGAATAAAAGGTGCTGAAAGAGGCCTGTGTGACTGCTCCCTAAAAAAACAGCCTGAATGTGTAATTTAAGTAAGTCACAGGATGATGTTAGTGCCCATGGCCATTAAGACAGCACCTGGCTGCTCACAGCCCCAGCTTTCTGGCAACAGAAATCCAGATTGTGTTGGTAAAGGTAATACAGCAATGACTGAAACTGCAGGCAGGCATTATGCACAGGCAGAAGGGAGGGTGTCCAAACATGTTTCATCTGCTGCTGCTGCTAGTCCCAAACCCACGAGCCCCTGCCTGTGAGTCTTGCCCTTATGTGACCTCAACGGGTTTTGCTGTGCTATGCCTTGGTGTTGCAGGAGTTGCTTACAGACCTGGGCATCCCACCCTGCTGAAAACCAGCCCTTTGCCTGGCATTCCTGCCCTGCTGCCTGGGGAAGCACAAGCTTCCACAAGGCGTGACCATGGCTTGGCCTTGCTGACACCACTGTCTGGTTTGTTTGTAGGGGTTTTGGTTGTTTTTTGGGGTGGTTTTTTTTGGAAACATTCAACCTACAGTAGGTATCAAGGGAAAAGTTTCTTTAAGACTCTAAGTCTAAAGAAGAAGTGCTAAGGAGGAAGGGAAAGAGAAGTGCACACTGTGGTTTTGTTGCACGCACATCTCATTGAAGTCACATTATTTAGACGGTGTTTAAACCCCCCTGAAGTGATGTGAAGCTTTCTGTTGTCTCATATTAGGTTCTGGACCCGTGAGTGGGGCTAAGACCTGCTTTAGGGATGCAAGAATACGATGACACTGAAATACCTGAGCGGTATTTATAGACTGGGGAAAGAGAAAAGACTTCAGTGCCTGGTGCTGCCCGAACCTCAGTGGAAACATGGGGAAGTGACATAATGTCTGGGGGAGAGGGAGCTGGCTTTGCTTACTTCATGGGGAGACATGTCCCATGTGGCACCCCTTGTCTTTCTCACTCATCCCCCTTGCTCTCGCCATACAAGTCAGGATGTCAAGCAATGCATACAAATACCTCAAGCCTAGATAATCAGGGCTCAGTTTGCACTTGAAATGTTTGAAGAATCACCCCTACCTGTAGGATGGAGGAGCATGTTATCTCAGGTGTCCCATTCTGTTACTGAAGATGCAGCAGCCTTCCCAGTATCCCAGGCAGCCAATGGGGCTGCACCACAGAAAGCCCTTGTCATCGGTGATGCAATTATTCTTCATGCACATTGGACTGAGCTCTGTCAAACCTTCTTCTTTCACATTAATTATTTTCTGGAGGAGGTGGGGGTAGGGAGAGTAAAGGAAATGGAGCTTACCAACCTGAGGTCCCCCAGACTGATGTGGCATCTTGAGTGGCAGGAGCAGTAGGGAGATGCAACCTGTATGTTCCTCCATCTGCATGAGCATCCCCTTGCCTCAACCACCTCTGCTGTGAGGCTTGTGCAGAAAATGGGTAATGGGAGGCTGGCATCTTCAGTGAGAGCTGCTGGCCTTGCATCATGCAGGTCTGCATGCTTGGAGAGGTCGAGCGCATTGCAGGGACGTCTGGATCCAAACTCACCTTGGAAAGCCAGGATGAAAAAAATTGCAATTAAATAAATATAATAAATCTGATTTTTAAAAGCTGCTGGGATGTTTTTTTTTTTGTTTGTTTGTTTGTCTGTTTGTTTTGTTTTTTTTCCATGCCTGGGAAGAATAGTACCTGTGTTGAAGCTGGAAGGGAGGACACAGCATTGCAGTTGGTGTTGCAGTGCAGTGCAGCCCTCTCCAGTGTGTATGGTACCAAACACCTTTTACCTCTGCAAGCAAATCCCTTTTGTGTCCTTCTTTCTGATGTCCCATGGACAAGGACCACCATATCTTACTCTCTCCAGAGAACGAGGAAATGAATTTGGGCTGAACTAGATGGAGGGCTGCTACATCCCAGTAGCTAGCTCAAATGACAGGATTTGCTTCTCACTTCACAACATGCGGGTGTATCATGCTGATTTTGGTTCTCCCATACTGTGCATGCTAATGTACTTCAGACCGAAGTAGGCTCCTCCAAGCTTACCATCACTCTCATAGCTGTAGCCTTCACAATCTCAAGTATTTATCATTGCCAAGGGCTCCTAAGAGCTCAGCATGAGGACTGCCAAAGCCATGGTGCTACACAGCAGTCCCCCCCTCCAGACCCTCTCTAATGGGCTTTTGTGTGTCTGACCCCAAGCACTGCCAGGAGAGGAAGGAGGATGAGGTTGGTTCCCAATACCTGATAAAGAGCTTCAGCATCCTTTCTTCTGGTTCGAGGCTGCAGCACTAAGGCACTGGTTTGTCCTGTTTGTTGCAGCATGTCTGAATGCCACCATTCATGGAGCAGCTCATTAAGGGAGGGAGGAGGTGTGGTTCCCGCTGACTGGGACTAAGAGGCAAATCCTTGGTGGCAAGCAGGATTTCACATTGCAGATACCCTACGTTGGAAATCAAAACTGTAGTCTTCAGTCTCAACACAGACAAGCTCATTTCTTGTATCTAAGGGTAGGGCTATGCCAGCAAACAACTGCCATAGTGAAACTAGAAGGATGAGGGTGGTGGAGGAGGTTAGCAATGACAGTGCAGGAGATCCAACCTCTGCAAGAGATACCACACTGCTTAACATTAAAACCATTGTGAGTGCAAAACCCACTTGCACTTGGGGAAATAGGACATTTTTGTGTAGCTTGAACTGCAGCTTAGCTGTGACTTTCCCAGCAGGAAAAACCCAAAAGTAAATTGAGAGATAATTCAGAAACTGAAGAGAGAAATAAAAGCAGCCACCAGCCTAGGTTTTGGGACTGAACCGCTACCCTGAGATGCTAACAGAGAAGCTCCAGGAAGGCTCTGGGAAAAGCCTGTAGGGGAAATGCCAAATTACTGCTACTCTGTGGTGAAGCTGACAGATTGATGCCAAGGGCGAAGCCACAGGCTTCCATCCTGCTTCAGGAGCTGCCCTTCAGTTAGTCCTGTCCCTGAGCTTCACCAGGGCAAGCTGCAGAGTAAGGGAAACCCACCCTGAGGGCATCCCTCTGACACTGCCTCTCCAGCACTGTGTCCCTCCATGCCTGGGAAGCACCACAGCACAGGTCTGCAGAGCCCTTCCACTGCCACCAGCATGGCACGCTGAAGCTGACCCATCTCTGAAGTATGCTTTATTGAGCTGCACTTCAGCTGATTAAACTAATTATTACACCAGGCTTAATGAAATCAATTGCCTCTTTATTCTATTATGGCCATTATTAAGTATTTACCTTCTCTAGGTGCAAGAGGTTCACCTGGAAAGCCCATAGCCTGTGTGAGGGGAAAGCTGTAGCTGGTGCTGAGAGCATCCCTGCGCCAGCCCTGAGATGCAGGCAGAGGCTGTGCTATTGTGGGCAAGACTGTCATCACCCTGGGTGTAGTGCTCAGGATCTATCTGCACACATGTTTCCACAGTGTCCTGCTGGAATAACTGCTGCCACTGAGCAGTAAAACCACTTTCAGGAGAAAAAAATCAAGAGTCCATGGGGATTCACAACTGTATTACAAAGAAATGAACTCCCTCCCCAGAATAATGTTGAAAGTTATACATTTTTAGGAAAATAAACATTTGTTCTGCCTGCCCCTTGGAAAGAGTGGAAAAAAGAAATTTTTAGGCAAACAATTACATTACTATTTACATAAAACATATGTAGGTATTTGCTCCATAATGTGTTCGCTGAAGAATGAATAGGCTGTAGCCCTCAATAAAACAGAATACCAGGAATGAGTGCCAAAACTTCTGCTAAGTGTCCTGGCCTGGCGCTTGCCCAGGATAGGGAAGAGGCCACCCTGCTGCTATCCCCTTGGAAATCGTTTGTATTAGTAGGGTACTTCTCTTCTTGGTGAAGCCTTTGTGGACAGAGCCAGGCGGAGCAGCTCACCTAATTGCAAGCATGGGTTTGCTTCTCTCGAATTGAAAACCAGCTTTGCCACTAGCTCAGCCATAGCCATGTGGAGCATGATGCTCCTGTTACTTAAGTTACAGTTTTTAAAGGCAGCCACAGTGTTTTATTTGTGCTTTACTGCAAACAGCAGTCTGCTAAGGTTTCCATGCATGACTATGGTCCTGGGAACAGAAGCGATGGGCAAAAAACACCCAAGGAATCGAAGCTGGGAGGTTGTACCTTGTTTTGTTTTGTTTGCTTGTTTATGTTGTGGTGTTTTGTTGTTTTTTTTTTTATTAACAAAACTTCTGAATTTGTGGCCAACTCACCTGCTTACAGAAGCAAACCTGGACCCCTCTCTCCACGTCACTGGGCTCAGGGTATGCAGCTAGTTGTGATGAAATGCGAGCTTTCAGGAGGCCTTGTTTATCTAATGCTTTCCTCTCTAAGAACAAAAACCAGTGCTGGTGTTCTGCTGGAGTCTGTTGAAGTATTTAAGGGATTGAGGTCATCGACCACAGTTTCTGACAGGACATTCAAAGCAGGTTATGGTCTCTCCGTATGAAGTGCTGCATTGCTGAGTTATGACAGATGCTGATACCTTTGGGAGCAATAAAAATAACTCCAGTATGCAACAGAAAATGAATTATAATTCACAATAATTCTTGGTAGAAAGCATACATTTTTAATTGCAATCATAAACACTTTTTAATTCTGAGATAAAAGTGGTTACCATAGTGACCCAATCCTTAAAGATAATTTTGCCCAGCTCTGTATAAAATGCTGCGTGATACCTGCCTTCACAGAAAGCAGCTTACAGAATGAGTTTTCCGAGTGTTAAGCCTTGGGTATGAAAAAGCAATGCAGGCTACATGGAAAAATAACTCCCTTTTGGTTCTGTCTCAGGAGCCTTATACACACATTTACCTGCAAGTGCCCTCGCAGACATTGTCTCGCATTTGGTGCAAGCTACAAATCTTGCTCAGCCTTCAAGCCCATGTAGAGTCTGCAGAATTGCAAAGCCCTGTTGAGAATCAGAATAAATGGAGAGAGGAAAGTCAGAGACATGCTTGTCCTGCAGAACAAGCCACCCACTGCTGCCATCAGGGTGTTAAAAAATCCCTGGGTTTACGTACTTTGAACAGTCTTAATATGTATTTCTCCAATAGACCATTTACCAGCACTTCCCTGGGAATATTTAGGGAAGCATACTTGCTGTAGTCAAGCAAAGGCATGTTTTGATGCACAAAGTGAAATGCAATCCTCAGTGAGACTAGTACAAATTATTAGTCAATAATATCTTCTGGGGACTTCTTTTGGTAATCCCTGCCTATCCCCCTGCACCCCTCATGTGGATTTACAGACTGGTCTGCATGATTGTATTGGGAATGCTCCCTGTCCCAAGCCATGGGGAACCTGGGTGTCACGCTCCCTCCCATCAATAACCAACCATGCATCCCTGGCAGCAGTGAGGGCGATGCAGCCCTCTTTCACTTGGGTCCCTCGGTAGTGAAACCAACTTACCTGTTGGCAGGACCCTGAGGACAGTCACAGCCATAGTCATGGGGCTGAAGGACTGGGCTAGTCACTGGATCTCTGCTGCCTCATGGAGTCCAGTTGCTTGCCTATACACAGCTTGAAATCAGTTTGGTTATTAAAGACAGTGTATCAGTGGGAGGCAGCACTGACCTATCTGGGGTGGAAAGCGAATTTTCTCATGTCACTGTGAGTTTCTTGTCATCAGTGATAGCCCTGCAGCAGGCTACTTTGCTATGCAACATTACATTTACCCTTATTACTTTATGACACTTTCTCTGATCCCCAGGGTACCCCTAATTTAGGAGCATACAGAGGTGACAACCCCTGGCTAGTGAACCATGGGCTTCTCACTTTCTGAGGTGTTTTCTCCTGCCAAAAAAACCTTGCTGAACCTTAGCCATCGTGTGAAAACACTGAATGCTGGAGCTCCAGGTGATTAATGTACCAAGCCAGCTCAATCTGGGCTTATTTTAGTCTGTTGCCTTTAATTAACCTCTTATTTCTGGATGTTAACAGATACAAACTTCTTCCTTCCCAAAACAGTGTGACAAGGGGGTGTTCCAGAGGTGTTACACTTTGCTTCAAAAGCTGACCCCCATGGGAGGAGATAAAACAGGTATGTGGCCTTTTCAGCTTCCCTGTAATGTGCAGAGAAGGGGCAGGAGGGTTCTCTCCTTCCCACCACTGATGAATATTTCCAATAGCAGCTTTAATTACAAAGTGTTGGCCCTTTACAGTAAGTGTCTCCCTGTCCCCTGCTGTGATTGTCTAGCAGCGATGAGGAAGATCAAGCCTGGTCACCTTGAAATGCCCGACTTACTAAAAGCTGCCCCTCCTTTTCTGCAGTGCTCCCTCCTCCTTTGCTCCTGATAACACACTCCTGCTTGAAGCCACCCAGTCCTGCCCCAAAACACAAGCGGAGCTGAGTCCTCTTGGCCAACCTCAGATGTCTCCGGAATGTGCATAGACCGAGTCACTGCTTTAACACCTGGGATGTTTCAAACTCCAGTAAATCCATTTGTGCTTTGTCTCAGCTGATGCCTTTTTGCTTTCCAAACATGTTGGGTCCAAAGGGCAGAGGTTTAAGTAAGAAAAATCCTAAATAATATTTGATGCTTGGTGTAAAAATCCTAAGGTGCTAGAGCAAATCCAAATATACATTTAATATATGAATAATTAAGTACCTCATAGCAGTCTCCAGGTACTGAGTATGAGAAATGAAGGATGCGAATATGACAACTGAAATGAGCCTTCGCTTCAGTTCTCAGACACAGGACTGAAGAAAACGTCAGAGTCATCTCCACCCATCCTTAAACACTCAATATTCTGCCAATTGACTAAAAGCAATGGTAGCAATAACAGAGACATTTGTAAGAAATGATCCTCTCCGTGTACAGCATGAGCTGAAAATATCCTTTAACTGGATGAATCCTCCCCACACCCAACAGCACCCACAGAACAAAGGCTGAGGAGCATCCCCATATCTCACAGGGCTGAGACAGGGTCACTGCCACCCTCAGGAGCCACAGCCCATCCCTCCAAGTGCAGGTCTGTTGGCAGATGGTGAGAAGGTAAGCTGAACTTTAATTTTACCTTAATCCACACCCCATTTCATAGCAGAGCAGGGCCTCGGGAGGAAGGAAAGGTGCTGCCCCAGGAGCAGAGCAAGCCTCGTCCCTGTTGTGAAACATGGGCAGAGGAACAGCTGAACAGCTGAACACTTCAAGTCTTCAGAGACTCGAAATAAGGATCTAAAATGTTAGTTTTTCAGTTGTTAGGGGGAAAATAAAAAGAAATCAAATCCTTTGATTTCCTTTTAACTGCTATTTACTAGGGATAAACTTAAAACAGTCTCATTTAAATATGCTAAAACACTCTCAGAGAGTTCTCAGCAACAAGCTAACAAACATTCAGGAGGAGAGATAAGGAGGGGTTTCCTTCTTTGTTTTTAAGGGGTTTGGGGCTGGGGTTTTTTTGTTTTTTTGTCTTAGTTACCAAACTAAAATCTGCATGTTCAGAAATCACGAGCTCTTCCACAAGCCAAATCCTTACCCCGAGGCCAGCGCTGCCAGCTCCTGTGAAGATCCTCCCCTTCTAAAAAGCCTGTAAGCTTAAGGGCAGTCACAAGAATACAGCCGTATAAAATGGTGTGCTCAACATTTAAGGCTGAAAAACAGAGAAAACTTTAATTACTGGAGCAAAGGCCTTAAGAAGCATGTCAGTGAGCACACCTTCACCGTTATCATTACTATCACTATCATCTTCCATCACCATCTACCTTTCCCACAGAAAACACAAGTTACTTCCAGAGGGAATGAGGATCCCTCAGCAGCTGCCAGACCCGGGGTGCTGATGTGGGCTGGCAGAAAGCATCCCTGTCAGTCACAGAGAGGTACACAGCACTTCAACAGCTGACAGCATCTACCTGTCCATATTTTTGGAAGAAAGCATCATGCTGAGAGCACAGGTCTTGTCGCTGCTGAAACACCCTTCCCTGGTGGGAGCCCTGCACATGTCCCCAGTCCCACCCTGAAAACATCCTTCAGCACACCTCACATGTCCCGCAGCAGGGAGGAAGCTACTGCCTCTTCAGAGCTGTTTTACCCATCAAACTCCTGCTGTGGCTCCCAAAAGCACCTGCAGGTTTATGTGCCTCTTGGTCCAGCTGTGAGACAAGCTCGGATGGTAGCCCCTGTATCTTGCCACTCCAGCAGCATCCAGATGATCTCTGAGCGGGTGAGGAAAACTGTTCACACGGGTTGCTCAAGCAGGCAACACAGCTGGGGGAATAAAAACAAAGGAAAGGAACTGTAGATACTCCCTTCTTGGTAAGGATCCTGTTTCCAGAAGACAGGAAAAGTTGTATTTCCTTTTCAACCAAGAGCACAGCAAACACTCCAGCTTAAAATAAAATGAAATTCACACCCATGAGACAGCTGTGGTGTGAAACGCAGGTTGAGAGCTACTTCCCCAGAGCATCTCCCAGGTGAAACAGCTTAAGGGAAAATAAAACAACAAAACCCCACCAACAAACAGTTGGGTGGAAACAAGACACCAAACTGTTGCAGGGAAGGAAAGCAAAACTGAATGCATTATGGTTTAGGTTGGCACGTTATTGTGAATAAAGATAGCTGTTACCTAGCTCATTTCACATCTGTGTTACGAGGAAACTATGGTAAAATTGATGAAAGTAATGCTTTAGTCAAACCCTCTTGTCTTTGGAAGATTATCTGCATGGCAATAGGTTTATAAATGGCTGTTAGGGAACAGAAATTGTTTCTTTGTGTACAGAAAAGCTCCGTGTGCCTGGGTGAAATTCTCAGTTAAGGGAGTTCAGCTCCTATAATCACACATCTGCTCCCACTGTCTCTGCCCCAGGGCTGAACTTCATTAACTCTTTGGGCTGTTTCCCTTCTTCCACATCGAGACATCAAATCCCTCTGGAAAAACTGAGACCTCTTGATGAGTCTTTTCACCATCATGTTCCTATCCAGAACTAACTCAAGGCAAATTCAAAGCCCTCCCTTCCCTCCTCCCCATCTGCTGAATAAACAGCCTGAAAAGGTAACATCTCCATCCTGCTGCAGTAGGATTTTCAGGCAGGTACAAGCTTTTTTCCAAGGGAGATGGAGTGCAGAGCGAGGGCTGTGCTTGCAGAGCTGGAGGCCCTTGTGCTCTGAGCACCATCCAGCAGCTCAGGAACCAGCTGAAGGCCTGGGTGAAGACAGAGGATGGATATCTCTTCCTACAGGAATGATACTTTTTTTCTTTCCTTCTTTTTTTCTTTTTTCTTATAAGCAGGCCTAGAGATCTCTTAAGAAAGCACATTCAGGATACTGCTGTTATTTCCAATTGCAGACCTAGAGCAGTGGACCTGCTTGCAGATAAATAGCTCACTGAGCAACACATTAACTCCATGTTTTGTTGTACACCATGTTAGAAGGAACTTCGGGTCCCTTCACAGCTATGCTGGTGGAAGGTTGCCTTCCACTTAAGCCTAAGCCTAACCTTGAGGCTTTGATGCAAGTAAATGCAGACAGAAATTCAGTTAGCAGCTTCCTGCCCAGGAGGACGACCAGCACAGCAAAGGCCGTTCCCATTTTGGAGCTATCTCCAAGGCTGCTTGGCACAGAAACCAGACCTGGAAAATCACTGCTGTGAGTTCATCAGCACACTGGGCTGCCCACTGGTCCTCACTGCTTTGTGCTGCCTGATGGAAACCACCCTTGCTACTGGCACCCCAGCATCACACCAGTGTTAGGGTGGCAAACAAGGGAGGGTTGCGCCACTCTGCTGCTTTTGCAAAGGCTGATGGAATTCCTTGCTGGTATTTCCTATCTCAGTGAGAGTGCATGTGCTAGGTAGGCATCCCCGTTGTTCATGTTGCAGAGCATTTTCTAATGACCTGCAGGAGCAGATCACGGGCTGGGAGAACCTGAACTCACCTACCTGCAACACCAGCCAAACCAAACAGCACTGTTTTTACAGCCCTGCACAGCCAACAGCACATACAGTGATGAATGTCAACCTCCTGGTGGTCTCTGCCTGCAAAGATGAAATACTGCTGGCAGCACGGACTGTGCATGACAAAGGGCAAGGATTGTTATTCTTCCTTGTTAAAGTCTCACAAAGTAATAGGCAAGAAGGATGTGAGTTGTTGAAGTAGCTCAGCTGCCATCCGTACCTTCAAGGCATTTCAAGGAGGCTGTACAGCAGGTAGCTGGAAGCAATGCTGCCTAAAGTCAGAGAAACAGCTGCTGTTCCCTGCAGTGTGGTGGAACAGAGGCAAGAAACTGTTGTGCTGTTGAGTGCCTAGAAGTCTGCTTGGGTTTGGTACAGAAAAGACACCCCAGTGTAACCAGATGTGATGTTGTTACAGAGCATTACCTTCCTATGCAGGTATTAAAATGCATTATGAAAAGGCATTGGCTGGCCAAACCAGCTTTTGCTTCCTAGCATTCCACTGGGGTCCCACATGAGCCCAGCCCTCGCTGTCTGGGTGTGGATATGTCTGGGACACTGAGCTGCTTTTGTACTGCTCCTTCTGCAAGAGAGGTTCATGTTCATTTCCCAGAGCACAGAGCTAAGCCACTTTAGCTTTCCTAATGATCTGGGCTCCCCTGCTGCGCCAGCTTCAGCACCAGTACCCAGGCCTGTGCCTTGCCGCCAGCAGACTATTGCTGGGAGCCAGTCTGGTCTGTGATAAAACCAGTGTGATGCTGTGTCCCCCCTCCCCACTGCCTGCTGGAAAACAGCAGGGTGGCTGGTTTGTGACTATCAAAAATAAAAGCAGAGGTTACTGAACCCAAATCCTTTGTGTCGTGATTCAGAAGCTGGCCAGAGGAACTGCTAACATGGCAAGACAGTGATAGCTAAGTTCCTTTTGAGGAGAAAAGAGAGCAGAAAGGGGCAGGCAAGGCACGGTATCCATTTAACCCCCACCATCGTGACCCATCCTACTGTGTCTGAAGTTCTCCTGTTTCCAGCACCCTCCTGCACGTTTGCAGGAGCAAAGGCAATGCCCCACCAAGACCTGCCTCAGAACCACACCAAAAATACCAGCAGCTAAACCCACATACACATAGCAAATAAATAAATATCATGGTCCCCACATAGGGCACTTCTGCACTGTGGGACCCATACCCTCTCCCTGTAGTGCCTCTTTGGCTCTGGGCTCATTTTAGCAGGAAAGGCAATGCCAGATTTTCCAGCTAAGCCAGCTCAGGACTGCCTCATGTCCCAGTAACCTCTTTATCTGTATGAAGTGTTTGAGGTTAATTTTCTTTGTGACGTACCTGGTATTTTGTGTCACTTCAGAGTATTGCTTAACACAACACACATAATTAAGACAATTAACCTGTCCAAGAGCTGAGAGCTGACATGCTGCAGGCTCTCACCTGTCAGGGGGTTTGGGCTATCGTTACCAGTGACATGGGGACATGTTTTCTCCATGCAGGAACACAGAGGCTGTCAGAAACCACATCATTATTAGCTCTCTCGAAGGAGAGGGAAGACTCACACCAGAAGGTTGCACTGTTTCTCTGGCACGTTGTTACGTTGTGCTGGAAATTGCAAGTCAGCTTAACAAAAAATAAGCCAGTTTTAATTAAGACGGGACATGAGCACAAATGGCACAGGGGCTTCTTGGTGGTGTAGGTCTCGTCTCATACTGGCTGTTGCCCCAGCAATAGGACAGTGATGATCGGAGGTGGTGAGAGGCAGTTCAGGCAGGTGATGCAACAGGTTTGTCTGCCAAATATTTCTGGTAAGGCAGCTGCTGGCAAACAGCATCAGGTGAGATGCTATTGCCCCACCATGTGGGGTGAGCAATTTGGAAGGGAAAAGCTAACATTATCCCAATATTGTCCTCCAAAAGAGGACCAGCAGTTGCAGCTTCCCTTGATTTCCATTTCACTTGCAGGACTTGAGGGCTGAAATGTGTTTTCCTGGGCATTAAACATGCCAAGCAAAGCAAGAGCAGGTTTAATACTAGATGTGCCTTGGTGAGCTGCTGTCCCTACCACAGACACACACCACGCTTTGGCAACGTGATGTGCTTTTGCTCTCATTTCCCCCCTCCTCAGTAAACTGGGGATAATATCACTAATTTTCAATTACAAAACACAGACTCAAGTATTAAGGTGCTGCATTTGAAACAGAGCTTTGAAAGCCCAGAAATTGTCTTACCCATAATAGGGTTTTGTCTTCCCCGAACACCAGCTCGAGTACCTGGAACTCTCACACCAGTAATTATGTCCATTAATTTTTCCTTAGTTTGCTCCATCAGGTATCCTGTTTCTATTCTACACTAATTCCTGCTGCTTCCAAAACCCTTGGGCAAAATAGCTAATTTTATATGTCAGACCAAGCTCTGGAAAATAAAAACCATATGTGCCTAATGAGTGAGGCTCAGATATAGTTAGTGCCTTGCCTTTGCATTGCAGCTGAATCCTAATGATCATGTTCCCAAAACTGGCACAGTAAGCCAGCTGGTTAGGTGCTCTCATTTAATGAAAAAGGGGGAAAAAAAAAGGAATATTTTAAATCAAATGTTTCTGGATCTAGAAGTCCCCTTTATCCTGCAATCTACAGCAACCCTCTGAAAGGTGCGGTTTGTCACGTGTCTTTTGCAAGTGCAAGAAAAGAGGGATCCTTCTCTCCCCTTTGCAAATCACACCTCTGCCTTGCAATGGCTCCTGCTCTTCTGTCTTTCAGAGGGGCTGGGATATTATCGGATGACCTGATATAGCTCAAGAAAACACATCAGGCCACAAGCTCTGGTTTTATTCTACCAGAGGATGCATGAGTATGTAAATACACACCCGTTTGCCCCAAGGCAACCCCGCTGATTATTTATGTGGCAGGATTTCTTCTCCTTATACTTTTAACAATCTGTGTAAGGACAGAAAGCTGAGTGTGTGGTCAAAATGTCACATCCGTGACCCAGTCCTGCTCTGCCTAGATGGCCAGCAGCAAGCAAAGCCACCCTGAGAAAGGCAGGGCTCTATTTCCCAGCTTACAAATGGCACCAAGATGACTTCAGTGCAAGTTTCTTCATCCTCCAAACAGTGTATGGTGCATATCCCACCAAGGGCAATCCTTGAACAGCTCATGCCATCAGTGACCTGCAGGCACAGGAAAACTCTTTCTTGGAGACTTTGAAAGCCCAGACCAGTGTATTTCCACTATTCATTCATCAAAAGCCATCCATTACCTTTGCTCCTAAGGCACTGCTTGAAGGAGGAGATGAACTTCCCCCGCTTGCTGCTCCTTCAACATTGCTCCACTGGGGGGAACAGAAATCCACCACCTTCGCTCTGCCGTGCTCCTGCACATGAGACTGCTTCAGGCCAGCAAAGCTTCAAAAACTACTAAAATGCTTTTAAAAATAAGTTTAAAAAACAATGAGCTTTGGGAAACTAGTTGAAGGGGCAAGCGCCATTCCAGATTGCGTCTCTTACAGGTTTCAAGGCTGGGTACAACAAACAGTTGGGCTTCAAACTTTTAACATCAAGTTTAAAATGGAGCCTTTAACTGCATTTTGTAGGTACAGAGCTGGGTGATAGCTGTGTGGAGAGGGCCAGATGGTGCCTGTCCCACATAGCTCTTCTAGGTATGCAGATGTTTTCACAGCTGTGCAAGGGCAGTGAGTACAGCCTGGAGAGATGTGAGTGCCTTCCCCCCTTGTAGTGCTGTGAGTTATTCAAAGAGGGCAAAGGCAGACCAGCTGAGGGAGCAGTTGAAAGCAGCAGCACCTCTCTAAAGAGAAGAAACGCAGCTACAGGATGATAACAGTTTTTCCCCTGACCTGCTGTAGTTTCTCAGTGAGACACACGACCCCTGTGCACCAGGGACCGGGCACGGAGATGTGCTCAAACACTGCACAAACCCCCAGCAAAACCCTCCTCCCAGTGCTCAGCCTTCCTGCTCCTGAGCCAGCAGCCAAGCCTGGGCAACTGAGGGCAGCCTGAGCACATCCAGCTTTTTGGAGGATAGAAGACACCCCAAAGCCTCCATCC